TTGCTAAGGGTGGTGCAACAAAAACCGCATTTATCTCATGTATTGAAATCAAGTAAAATCTTTGTAGCCTGATCACCTCCTTATCTTGAACCCTGAAATAAGTCCAATTTGTCTAGGAAAGTTATTCTAAGTCCTAACTAAGAAATTTTTTATGATATTAGTTTAACTGTTCGAAAATTACTCATTTGATGAAATTATATAAAAAGATAACCTGTACCTTTGGGTATTGTGGTAATATAGAAAAACTATTGAGAGCTTTTGTAACTAGCTGGATTTAAACACATATAACAACATCGATTTCAAGAAGTTGAAATTAATGTAATGTTAAAGTTTAGTGGGTATGCTTGGATCAACTATGTTAAACTTTGTCAATCAAACAGTACCTCAATATAGAATCGAATTAACTAGTCCTATACACTACTGAATAGATATGTAATATTATTAGCGGTAGTTATACCACATTTTCTTATTACATTAGGTACTAGTGTAGTAGAATATTAAGAAATTTATTTCTAATAAATACCTGGTATACATCACTAACAAAATATACGTATTTGTTTTCAAACTAATTAGTTTAATTATAAATTTATGTCCCAAATTATAATTCATTCCTGTAATTAATAAAAGTTCTTAGGATTCATGGGGCACTTGATTAAAAAATATTCTATGTCATAAAATAAATTAAATTTATCTTTATTTTGATTGGTAACAGGAACAGGCAAGAGAATAAATAAATAACGCGAGCAACGTGAATAACATGAGAAATATAAAAATAGCATGACGTGTTGCTTTTTTACTCGTCCAATATAAATCACGTGTAAAAAGATTCAAAAATTTTGAGAAAAAAAAAAAAAAACCAATTGAATACTTACGGATCAGCATAAGCTATTTCATTTGAAAAAATATTAAATTTAAATGTGGAACAATCTTCCCAAGTACTGGAAATATAAAACAACTGCATCGGAAGTTTAACAAAAGATAAAAACGCTTTCATTAAAAAACAACACACGGCTGATGTTTCAGAATTGGAAAGATTGTTTTAAGCATATAGCTCTCTATCCAGCATATGTAAAAAAGGGTAGACGGAAAAAAAGGTCCCGGTAAAAAAGGTCCCTGGAAAAAAAGGTACGGAAAAAAGGGTCCCTGGAAAAAAAGGTCCCGGTAAAAAAGGTACCTCCATAGGGAAAATCCGTAGGGATTCCTTTTCGCATATTTCCTTTTCGGTATTTCTTTTCTTATGAGCTGGGTGTATTTAATTTATTGCTTTTATTTTTCTAAGCGGAAGATTTAATATAAAATATGCTATCTTTTATTTTAAATGATATTTTTTGAAAAGGGTGTTCGCGGTATTTCTTTTTTTTATAAGCTGGGTATGTTTAATTTCTCTACTTATTTTATTTATTTATTTATTATGTTCAATAAATAAATAAACAATTTTATTGAACATTTTCATATTTAATTAACTTTTTAAGAATAAATGCATAAATAAGAAACAAAAATTGGATAAAAAGCACTTTGAAAACGCGCGACACGAAAAAAAAAAAAAAAAAAAAAAAAAAAAAAAAAAAAAAAAAAAAAAAAAAAANATGTACGGAACAGCAAAAAGCGCTTCTATCTAATCTTCTCATTTTAAATATTTTCCCCTACAGAATTTTCCCAACACAAGTACCTTTTTTATCGGGATCTTTTTTTCCGGGGATCTTTTTTTCCGTACCTTTTTTTTCATGTACCTTTTTTTCTGGTATCTTTTTTTCCTAGAATCGTAAGAAAGTCATTTTGGACGGCCTTAAAATGTGCTAAAATATGCAATAATCGTAGCTCTTAATAAGTAATGTATTCTAATATTTCCCCAAAAAACATGTTTTTCAAAAAAAAAAAAAGTCTTAAAAATAGCTAATATTTAAAATAAATGATAAGTTAAAGCAATTTGTACAGAAATAATTTTCTTAAAAAAAGTTATTTTTTACAAAAAAAGATTTAAATCGTCGCAATCAATGATATATTCAAATGTTAATGACGCAAATGTTATTAAATCCACAAATTTAGAACTATTTATATTATAATTCTAATGAAATTGGACTTATATATCATATTTATGTAACATTAAAAAATATCACTTTTGACTCTAAGTTCATATTCAATAATTAAAGGCAATTAAGTAGATTGCATTTCACTGGTTATTAAAAAATTGATTTTCTCACTAAGCAATTAATCTAATTGTGTTTATTACAATTTTTTGAAACCTAGTCGCAATTGCTGATATATAAAAGTTTCGATGACGTGTTTGTAAATCAACAAATGCAGATTTGCAATGTATATTCATAAAATATTAAAAATGAATTGGCATTCCCAATTGCAATAAAATGATTACTTATTTTACTAAAACTTTTAGTAAAATAATTGTATTACCTGCATTTTAATAAAAATTTTTAGCTTCTGTTTCTTACTTTTTTTCTTAACCCCTTCTCAATAGCTAGCATATGAAAATAGGGATGAAGGGAACGTATAGAAATTAATAATTTCAGGTTTATAACCTATTTATATACCAAGTGTGTATATATACAAGGGCGGTGCCAGTAGGGGGTCAGGGGGCAATTGCACCCCTGTCGGGCATGGTCAGCTCCCCCCTCCCCCATCGGGAAAATATTAAAGTCTCCTCGGGTCTAGTCTGACAGACATTCGTCTGGAGGTGTGGCAGTGACTATGGTAACGAGGTATGATTATAAGACTGGTTTTGGTGAGAGAAAATGAGACCTCTTTCTTCGGTCTATTGTGTTAGCTCAGGGATTCTCAACCTTTTTTTGTGGCGGCACACTTTTAACGATTTTGAAATTTGATGGCACACAATGAAAAAAAAAAACTTGTTTAAAAGTTGTTTAAATAACTATAATACACTGTGTTAAATAGTTTGTGATAATAATTTTGAATGCGAAATAAAATAATACGTACTTCAAAAGCACGTTTATTAAAGGATTATTATTTCTTCTGACTAACTTTTTATTAGTTAGTAACAGTTATTTATTTTTTTGCTAGATTTTAATTTTTAGCTTGTTTTCTATAGTTATTAACTTTTTTTTTTTTTACATTGTTATTTTTTTGTGATTTCTAGTTAACTAGTTTTTTTCGCTAATTATTAATTGTTAGCTTATTTTTTTGTCAGTTATCCCTTGTTAATTTGTTTTTATAACTATTAATTGCATAGCTTACTTTGATGATTAGCTGTTATTTCTGTTTGATAGTTAATATTTAGCTTGCTTTCCTTTGCTAATTAATAATTTTAATAGTCCTTAAATTTCCTACTTATTTCAACATTTTTTAAAATTGTGTGTCAAAGACAATTTAAACACTTCCTTTGTATTTTAACTTCTGTTAAGATTGTCAGAGACAAGACAATCGCCGACAAGCATGTTCACGTAGTTAAGGCGTGGAAAANCTTTAATTTAAACTTTACTCATAATAAAAAAAAGCATTATAATTTTTATTGTATCATTTCTAATATTTGGCGGCACATCTTAAGAATTTGGCGGCACACAAAAGTGCCGCGGCACAGTGGTTGAGAGTCACTGTGTTAGCTACTCTGTCTATTGTGTTCACTCTAAACTATAGAGTGAAGAGAAATAAGTATTCGCTCTTGAAACATCGTTTAGATCGTTCGATTTTCTCTTTTTTAAAAGAGTCAAAATTTTAACAGCGGTAGCACCCAAATTTTGATATCATAATTTTTAAATTTTTTGTTGTTTTTTAAAAAGTACACGTTATACAAAACAGTAGCCCAAAACGATTTTTTTATTTAATTTGTTTTGCAAGATATTAACAAATAAATTTTAAAGCTCTTTTTAATTAAAAAAATAAATATCTAAGGATAGAATGAATGGGTTTTTTAAAAATGTATCTCATTTTACTCGGAAATAAGTGAAGTTTTTGATGAAATAATTATACTAAAACAAATGTTTAAAAAATTTAATTTTTATTGCAAACTTAAGTTGTAAAATGAAAAACAAAAATTTTGTTAATGTCGTACAAAGTTAAAACAAAACCCATTTTAAAGTAAATTTTATTCTGAACAAAATGGCTTTTCAAAAAAAGTGGATTGCAATTCCATAAAAAGTTATAGCTTTTTTCGCGATACGCTGCACCGCTGCCACTCCACTCCACTGATCTGTCAATCGCGCTGTATCAGTTGATTTGGAGGGAATTTAAAAACCTCAACTAAAGTTTCACAAAATAACAAACATTATATTAAATAATAAATTTAGAATTTGAGGTGAATAATATTATGAATAATTAATTATTTATAATTTATTTACATTATTTTTTGAGTTCAAACTTGGAACTAGAAGAATATATTTTATTTATAACTATTTTATCAAGAACTTCCGCGCAAAATGAGATACAATTTTTTAAAATCCATTTATTCTATCCTTAGATATTTATTTTTTAATTAAAAAGAACTTTGAAATTTAATTGTTAACATCTTGTAAAATAAATTAAATTAAAAAAAATCATTTTGGGCTACTGTTTTGTATAATCTATACTTTTCAAAAAACAACAAAAAATGTAAAAATTATGATATCAAATTTTGGGTGTAATCGCTATTAAAATTTTGCGGTAACTTGTTTTCAGTTTAAAAAAAAAGTAAAAAATAAATAATAAAAACAAAGATATTTAATATTTTTTCGGCACAGATAACGTGAACTATTTCTAGTTTCAGCAAAAGTTTAATCTCCTTTAAAAATCAGAGTTAATAAGTTTAAGCACTTCACTTTTTCCAGAAAACTCAAATAATAAAAGAAACTAACGGCTTTAAAAAATGTGCTAGTTTAGAAATTAAACCATCTTAACAATCAATGAACATTCATAATAAATAACGTAAAATTAAAAAGTAACATTTAAAAAACCTGCTCAACCCTTAATGTCAGAATTTGTTCACCTTTTTTCTTCTTTTTTTTCATTTGTATATAAAAAATAGCAACCGATTGAGTAAAAAGAATCATTTTAAGTAAGAAAGAAATATTCACTCGAATCTTTAAAAAAGTTCTTGAATCAGATTACATAAGTCTCCTACTGGTGGCTGAGTTAGCTAATCTGGTATACTTCCCATACAAGCTATCATCGAAACTACCCTCCCTAAAATGCCCTCTTCTTGTTTCCATAGCACCAGACTGTCGCAGACTTTGTGGCGGTCAGAGTACCTATCGTAGACAAACAGTAGTCTGGTCACATTTTTTTCTAAATTATGTAAAAAATTCATTTACAAATAACTAATAAAAAATTTTGTAGTTAACTTTCTAGTTTTTATTTATTTATTTTTAAGAATTAGTAGCAAAAATTAGTAAAATATATTGTAAATTCGATGTAATTGTAGTTTCACTGCACTACTCATAACTTTGCCCATACATTGTTAAACTAGAGACCGGATGCGATTAGACAAGGTGAAATTGACAACTTTTCCAAGTCCTTTAGAAATCCTTTCCCACAGACTTCATTTTCTTGGAAACTTATCTTTCAAACTGCTATTCTTTCTTCTGGCGAAAGGGGATACCTCTTTGCTGTGGGAATAACTGACAAAAGCCTGAGGTTTATGGTTATGAGCTTTATCAATGGTTTATGGGATCAGATAATTGCTTTTTGAAATTTTCGAGCAAAATCATCTTTCATCTTTTTTTTTTTTTTTTAAATGCTTTTAAATGAGGAAAATCATTTCCTTATTCGGATTCAAGGTTTATATTTTAATCAACACAATAAATATGCAGTCGGAAAAAGAGAAAAACAGTAACAAGATATTTTTAATTTATTATTTTTTTTATCATTTTCTTAGTAGTGAAAAGATTGTTGATTGATTCAGAAAAACAATTAAACTGTTCGTATTTAATATCTTAAAATATATATTAATCAACGTAACAGATTCTCATTGACTTATTTTATGTACAGTGCATGAAATGAAAAAAGGGAACACCTTGATTACTTTTGATTTAATCATATTTTCATTTACAAAGAGTCAATATCACATTTTAAGTTATGATAATGAACAGAAAAACGCATTCTGTTCTGGATAAACATACAAGTTTGTATATAGTTTTAGGTTTTTAATTTTCAAAATGCGGAAACAGACACAATCTGGAAGATATGGTCTGAAGTTATGGTAAAGAGAGTTTGAAAGTTTGGGTCCTTCAGTTTTAACTTCACTCTTCGATTATAGCCCATTATCTCGAGAACTTTTTGATTGTATTGAAAAATGTTTGCGTAAAATTACAAAAAACATTTTATACACAAATTTTTAAGCAAAAATAATTTTAAATAATTATTTGTTATTTTTTATTAGTTTATTAAATAATAGTAAATATATTGAGTTGTATATTCTACATATTTTTACATCCTTTTAATTTCAAAATACAAGCTTTCAGAGCAATCGATCAATTAGTTTCTGAGTTATTAAATTTTAAAAAAGTCAGTCTGCTTAAAATTTTATTTATCTCAAATTATTCAACCGATTTCATTCAAATTTTGTATTTCACAATTTAAAATTACCTTCCATAAAATTATATAAAAATTTAAATATCTTGCTATTTTATTTTATTTTATCCGTCGTTGAACAACCGACCCAATTTTCGGGTTTATGACTACTACTGCTCAACTCCGTAGCCTTGTAATTTTGAACCAATCCAGAAGACAAGGAAACTCCTGGATAAGTACCCCCAGAGGTATTGATTTGTTACGGGAACATGGAGAACTTTGTGACTCGACAGATTTAACGTGCATCCGTCGCCATTTATTGCACGGGGATTTCAAAAATCGAGATTCATAATTTTTCCGACGCATATTACAAATATAAAAAATATTAAATATTTTATAACTATTTAAAACTATATATTCTGCATGGGGAATACCTTCGGGAAAACGAATTTTTGCAATTGAATGAAAATTTCTTCGATTCAATCGAAAAGCAAAATGTTCTTAAGATATGACGAGATTGAGATATTATCATTGAGATATTATTTCGAAACTATTACTATGAAATTAACAAAAGAGGACAAACTGAAAGACGTTTTTATTTATTTATATCTGATATTAATATTGAAAGTGAACATCATTTCACCTTATTTTCCTCTTTCAATCTTAATCTTTAAAATTATCAAAGCATATATATATGGATAACCACCAGCTAAGTTACCTTTTTATATAAAAAAGAAAAGTTATTCAGCTATTATCAGCAATATTGACATATACTTCAAATGAATGTACAGCGCGCAAAAAAATAAATGAACCTACCGGAATAAATTTTAATCTTAAGTTCGGATCTTCATGTTCTAGGACTCATTCTTAATGGTTCGAGAGGGTGACATCAAATATACTAATTAATTATTCCAAACGATACTTTAAGTTAGGAAATTAGGCATGAAAACGTTATCCGATTAAACATATGTACCTTTTTTCGACGAATTCGGATTTCTAAACCCCAAAATATAGTAGTTTCAATCTAGAAATATTGTTTTAATAGTTTTTTTCAGGAAGAAAGTTAGGAGCCTTTAATGTTAACTTTAGTTTTTGCGTATTTCACTATATCCCAATTTTTTTAAAGCCCAATTTTTCTAAAGCCCAATTTTTTTAAAATTTTTTCATCCTTTGCAATTTTAAATGTCAAAATACAAAATTTAAGCAAAGTCGGTCAAATAAGTCCTGAGAAATAAAATTAAAAAAACTCTAATTTTTCTAAATTTAGTCCCATAACTTCTTAATTTTTAGTGTCCATTTTTTGTGACTTAAAATTCGTAACTAATGAAAGCAAAAGCAAATTTAAATCGTAGAGGAAAGAATGTTACGCGTTGAGATGTGGTAAACAATAATCAATTAACTGTGTGAAAGGTTATTCGTTGCAGGCGTATGTCAATATGTATAAGCTTTTGCAGGGCGAAGCAGAAATTTTGGTAGAAAGTGTGCTTTCAGCTTTGCAGAGAAACAAGAACATAGACAGACAAACAGCAGCCATGTGAGGCAATTTTTTTTAAAAATGAAAGTTAGTTAATATTCGTTTCTCGAACGCAAATTTAAAATTTTCAAATTGAAAAATAATTAAAAATTTAAGCTATATTGTTTGAATCTTATATTTTAAGCCGATGGACTTACTCTTTTTCTCAAATGGAGAAATTAGCATTTTGCCGGACATATAGATATTCACTTAAGAAGCATCTTTAAAAAAAAAAAAAAGGAATCACAAGGCGAAATTTTAAAAGTCTCCTTGTATTTATTTACAATATATATTAACATCGAGTCCCCTGATTAAAATAGCCTTTTTTTGTCCGTAAAATTATACTATGTAACAATTAAAAAAAATTCGAATTTTACAATTTTATGGGCGTAACCATTTGTAAGTTCGTTCAAAAAGGGGCATGATATCTTTAGATATAATACGTAGATGCAAAAAATGAACTTAAAACTTTATTTGCAAAACATATACATGATTCAAAAGCCAATCGATGCATACAAAAATAACTTTTCATGACAAAATGTTCTTTAAATGTTTTGTTAAGTGTGCATGAAAATTCAAATTTTTATTAACGAATAATTTTTGCGTTTTGAGAGTATAGCGGTTACTGCTACAACTATTTTTCTTCATTGCAGAAGTAATTTTTACGCTTACAATGTATGGTAAATTGTACCATACAGAACAAAATACATCGATAACAGAAAAAAAAATTGATTTAAATTTACATTAAAGGGAATCTGAACATTATGGTACCAGTATTAGTGATTTTAGAAACACACTTGAAAAAAATGATGTGAGAAAAAAATTTAAAGTATAAAATTCGTTTTAATTTAAATATTTTGAATTAATTTATTTGATCCCCCCTGTCTGGGGAAACTTGACCCCATGTCGGGCAGAGTCTGGCGCCATCCTTGTATTATATATATAAAGGCACGTAAGCGATCGGAAACATAAACCGATTTAATTTAATTTATAATTAACTTATTTTATAATCGATGTTGAACAGCCAATTTATTTCTGAGCCTACGACTACCACTGCTGAATTCCACAGCCTTCTAACTTTGTAACTAGCCCTCATATGCGTTACATGTAGTGGAAAACCGCGAAAATCTCGCCTTGATAGCACGATGAGAAAGGGATTCTGATCCGTCTATCACTGAGATTATTTTATATCAGCACTGTGTTTGGTGCGATCAAGGAGCAGGATTGGTGTCAAACAGCATAGCTGGGACTCGAACTTGGTCACCTCATTGTGAAAAACAACATTTCCGATTTATAGGAAGAAAAAAAAAAGAAAAGTAAAAAAAAAAAAAATACGGAAAGTGTTTTTTTTTTCTCTTCAAAAGTTAATAAGGAAATACTTATCTAATTCGCATTACAATTCAGTAAATTTTATTACCGAAAATAAATGTTCACATTAAAAATTATTTATTGGTATAGTAGAACGCCGATTATCCGAACCCTTATTATTCGAACGTCCAATTATCCGAACTATGTCCGAATTCGTTTTTTTTTTTTTTTTCAAGTTTAGAATACTTTTCAACTTATTGACAATTTTTCTAAATTTAGAAGAATAAATAATATCCACTACATTTAATGATCATATTTAATTTACAACCTTTATTAGCAGTTTTCTTATAGTAGCCATACATATATCTTCTATTGTTATACAGTTAAACCTACATACCCCTTTAGCCCTCTTCAACTGAAAATAATTATTAAAGATTGCGAGCTTTATTTTGACAGTCTAGAACGTGAAAATGATGTTAATCCAGTTCAGTTGATTTATTTAAAAAGAATAAGGGCTGCTCAAAAAAGAGCATCTTCTTTGAAACAAAAGTCTTAGCTGGATTTCTTTTGCAATGGAAAATAAACGAAAAAGGTTTAAATCAGTAATTGACAACAAAAAAATTATAAAAAACTGAAATATGATAAAAAAAATTGAAAATGAAAAAAATTAAAATAAAAACGATTTAAAAATTGCAGAAAAAAACTTTTAAACGAGACAGAGCTATTTTGAATAGTACTTCCAGTTCAAAGCCTGGAAAAAGTGAGAAAAGGGAAATTAGTGCATAAATAATAATCATTTAAACTAGATTTTAAACAACTTTCCAACTATCCGAACTTTTCGTTAACCGAACCACATTCGGATAATCGGCACTGTACTGTATTTCATAATAATTCAACTATATATAGAATGGGCATAAGTACTTACCATTATCATTTCCAATAGCATAACTTCCCATCCTTGCAGTTTTAAACATCAACTCAAGTGCCTCTGAATACACTAAACTATATTTCTTCTCTTGGGGTGAGCCTTGCACTCATAGGATTAACCCCTGTATACATTTCAGAGCAGTTCATTCTGAAGTGCCTTTGTTGCCCATTCATCAACGTCGACTACGAATTGTTCACTTCCTTGAATAACCACCCCCCTACTAACTCTCAAAGGAATCGTTTCTTATCTACCTTTTCTATTGCTGTATTCCAAAACAACAATACTTCCTTACTAGTAAAATCACATTCATTCTGTTTTTTTGAAAATTAAACACGAGAAAAATAGTAAAATAATTAATTTAATAAATCATGGAAATCAAAAAAATTAACTTTTAATAAGAAATTAAGAATCCTTTCAAAGTGAAAGTTCATTTAATTCAAATTAATTACTTACTATTGAATTTGATTTTAATATATTTTATTTAACTAGTATAGGAATTTGTATTTGACTGTAAAATTTATTCTTTAATCTTAAATAGAAAAAAAATTAATAATAGCTATCAAAACTAGTTAATTGAAAAACTATTTGCAATTTGTGGAATAAGCAGCTTATAATTTGGCATTTGATTACAGATAAAAATTCAAGTAATATTTATATGGAAGACAAATTTGTTAGCAAAAAGGCGAATAAAAAAATGCAAGAATGGAAGGGAAAAGGAACAGGATGAAATATCCAATAAATAATTTTGCTTTATTTTACATTTTAACTGCATTAAAGATAGAAATATCATAGTTATTGTTCAAATTCAATGATAAATAACGTTAAATGTTAGTTACTAATCGGGATTACTCTAATATAATTATGAATTTGAATTTATTAATATTACATAATATAATTTTTTTTCCATTTAAATTAATGCGTGAATCATTTATAATTTAATGCTAACTATTAATTTCAGAATTTTCCTACTTGAAGTTTTGTCCTGTCGAAGTTATGTTCACGCGAATCTTTGCTCTCGCGAAGTTTTGTCGGAGAAGGTTTGACCGTGAAAGTCAGACCCATTACCTTAACCTCAATTAGAGAATCAGAATCATATATGTTAAAATAGGGAGAAATTTTTTTATAATGCGCGAAGCGCGAAATAGTTTCAGCCCCTTTTCAAAAAATTAATTAAAAATAACGTATCTTTCATAAATAAACAAAAACATTTTACATTAAACCCCTCCTTAAGAAATACGTCGTACTCAGTATCCTTTCCCTTTTACCTAAATTCACAAATCTGAATCATATCTATTAAGAAAGCGCGAAAAAGAGTCATGATGCAAGGAATCATTTTGCTCCTTCCATAAAAAAAAAAAAATTAAAAAATCTCTCACGAAAATAAACGCTTTTATGAAAAACACCTCCTAAAACAGAAATAAGTTCCACTCAATATCCCCCACCATCTTACCCCAATTAGCGACAAAAAGTTTCATGCTGCAGAGAAACTTCGACACCTTTACTAATATATATGTATAAATGCAAAGTATGAAATATGAGAAGTATTGCATACTTTCCCTCGGCATTATACATAATGCCAGATGCTATTTAGGCAAAGTATGAAATAAGCGTCCTGATGAGGTTATTATGTGAATGTTACTGCGAATGACCGAAATCGGTGGTTGTTGACTTTCACCGGAGAATGTTGACAATCACATAGTCGCTTTGGTGAATGTCCGAAATATTTATTACATCCAATTTGATAATAATTTATTCGTGGATATAATTACATTTATTCGATATTTTAATACTTACTGACGATAGATTAGAAGAAACATCAGTGTTTGGAGTATCGGGCAAATGCATACCGGGCAGTGGCACTTGACCTTTAAAAAACATCAGTGTAGGCCGTAGGGTATACCGGGCAAGGAAACGTATAAATGAATTTTAAAGTTACTTTGCATGATTATTATATGCTTCCACAATCAATTTGTTTAAATATACTTCTGTGTTCATATGCACGAAAAGAAAATGTTGAATATTGTTTTAAAATTGAAATATTGATATTTTCTAAATAACTTATTTTTTTCCCTCCAATTTCAAATCCTATTAGAATTACCTTGCATACCTGCCAACACTTCCGGATTTTCCGGAAGATTTTATTTTCATATTTAAAGTGGTAGTAAAACTCAGGTTATTCCAGTTAACTTTTTGAATTATAATGATAATTATAAATGAGTTTGACCACCACTACATATAAATAATTACAATAAATATATGAAAGCATAATAATCCTTGCACANCAGAATTACAAGGCTACGGAGTTGAACATTAGTAGTCATATACCCCTCCCCCCCAAAAAAAAATAATTGGGTCGACTGTTTAACGACGGTTATAAAATTAAAATAAAATAAAATGACAATGTCATGTGTAAGTGCAGCATTTATCCAAAATATTGCTTTAATTTTTCTTTCTTTTTTAATATTGGCATACTTATGCATTCTAGATTTATTTAATAATTATTCTTTTTAAAAAATTCGGACGTATTTTACCTCTTTCAGCGATAGTATTTCAAGCGAGCATCTGAGCACCTTCATAAACTTGTCACAATCCTCGAAATACTCTCCACTTGTCACAATCCTCGAAATTTCTACGGACACAACTTGGTGGAACTTCTGAAAAACGAGCATCTCAAAAAACATCATTTTTTGGACGGTAAAATGAAAGCATTCTTTTCAAAAGGTCCTAGGGAACATAGTTACGCTCCTTTAAAATATATCGCTGGTTCAAAACTAAAACGACACTTCAGCATTCACTTCTCGTTGAAATAACATGAGAAGTGCGTGCAGAAGTGTCGTTTTAGTTTTAACCAGCGATATATTTATATATTTAAATATATATTATAGCGCGTTGCATTTATATTCTCGCCAATAAAATTAATCTAATAAACTGGATCGATTTTATTTCATTAAAAGTAATATATTTAAAAAAATATATTTAAAAAAACGCTCCGAGTGATTGAATTACATATAATTAATTCTCATTTCATAAATAATTTTTTTCCATCATGCTTGCTATGCTTTGAAAGTATTGACCAACGTGATGCATACATAAATTTTTTCTTAATAATAAATGATAAGCAACACATTATTTTGAAAAGTTGCTGAAATCTTACAAGCAAAAGACTCAATTTCTAAACAGTCCTTTCATTCATTCTTTATCAATTCCAATTTTTAACGCCTCATATCTCCCTGGTTTATTTATTTTATAAAGATTGTCTGAACCACCTATTTTTTTTCTCCAACTGATAGGCAATCAAAGAAGGGGAAATGATAGTAAGAGACCATATCATTTGACCTCTACCCTCTAATGGTTTCTTACTTCACACTATCTATTCTAAATATGTTCTCTGAATGTAGATATTCGAAATATAGATTGTCTCAGTGATTAAGAGTGTTCCGTATCTCCACAGATGTTAAAGTAAGTGGACTGTTACCAAAGATTTTCATTTTTTTCCCTTTTGAAGTTAAGATTTCGGGGAACGAAATTGATTCAATTGAATTGAGCTTTCTTTGTTTTCGGAATATCATTTTGTGTTACGTGTGTATATCTTTAGTTTCCAACACTTCTAAAGATTTTTTTTTTATCGTACTGTCATTTAAAACACCATGCATCAACCTGCATTGTTTAAAATATTCTAGATTTTCTCTGGTTATTATGGCAAAATGATGACTAGTCACGCGAAACTAAAAACAAATAATAATAATTTGATAAGAGAAACGTTTAATATTTTTCGCTGGTTACTGAACATTAATGCTTTAATACCTCACAATATTTAAATTGGTAACGAAGTAAAAAAGATAATCAGAATTATTTTATTTTTGTTAGCACTTTAAAAGATTTTTTTCTTTTTGTCCTCTTGTCATTCATTACTGTTAATTTTAATATTTCTCTAATTTTCATTTCGAAGTACTATTTATAAATTAGGTAAAATAACATAAAGTGATCGCATCAATATGAGTATATTTAATGCAACGGAATTGTTTTCAATTCCACTTTATTTTGACACATCTAATCCACATGTAGTTTTTCTTCGAGTTGAAGATATATCATCTAAAAGTATCTATCTTGAAGAATTACAAACTTATAGTATTCATTATTAAATTCTATTCTACAAATTCTACATTTTTCCAGCTCTCGAACGAACCGCCGTACAATTATCAAGCTGACAATTTGATTTCTTTACTAGCTGCCTCCGTTGATCAGCTGTACATTTTAATTGTGTAGAATTTTAATTATTTAGAGATTTAATTGTGTTAGTTTTCCGTTTGCTTATGGTGTTTTGTTTCCTGTTTTCTAATTACATTTGTTTTTCATCTTCTTGTTTTCTCGTTAAAAAAATTTTTTTTTCCCGTTGTGTTCCGTTTTTTCATTGTTAGTTTTCCGTTTTTCATTGTTTCTTTTTTTTCGTTTTTCCCTTTTTTCTCGTTTTTTTAATTTTTAGTTCTTTTTATTCATACTGCTTTGTTTTTCGTCTTTATATTGTGTTCTTTTTATTTGTTTATGTTTTTTTTTGAATATTTGATTTCTAATTTATTATTCCCATTCTCTTCGCGTTGTTTTTTAGTTCTCTTTCTATCATTCGCTTTTGCATGTTTCTTGCACTTAATTTTAATTTTTAAACAATGTAATTTTTCCAAGTTTGCTTTCGATCTCCGGAGAAATGAATAATTTTTAACACGTTATGGCATGTTATTTTAATACAACATGTTTTAGTCTTTATAGGATTATTTTGCCCAGTTGTCCGAGTGATTAGGGCCCGTTTGGATGTATTTAACATAGATAATCGAGTGTGGGAACTGCTGGACATATTTAGATGCTGACATATCAAATTGGAGCAATTTTGAAAACTATAAAACTTTTGCTGTAAGTATAGCATTTTTGTTCCTTCTCATTTTTTAACTGCTTTAGAATATTACAGACTAAAAATTAAACTATTTATATGCTGTTCAAACCGATTTTTGCAGACTTAGGCAGCACGCCGTAAAATAGTTTACTTCTGACCCTTATTGTATGGGTCAAAATCCGATATAATTATATCCATTATTCTGTTCTGAGTTCCAAAAAAAAAACGCCGTATTCCAAAGAGTTCACGAAAGTTGGAAGTGGCAGTGGCATTCTCGTTTTTTTTCAATATTTTCATACAGGTCAAATTGAGAAAATAAACAATAAT